GTGTGGATGGTATCTGGGATTTAATCTTCTCTTTAACCATGCCCATATCCTTCACTCTGATATCTTCTTTAATTTCGTTTATTTTGTTTCAACTTTTTAATCCTTACAGTTCTTATTATTGTTCTATTTGTTATAACAGAATTAAGATGATTAAGCAGAGCAAACGACAAAAATGATTTATAGCTGTAAAGGAAAGTAATACCGATGTTCCTATCTCGGTATTAATTGACATGCCGAGTGAAAGATATTTTTCACTCCTTAGTGTTCCATTCATCTTTCGATATTTTTCTATCGTGTTATAGAGGAAAAAGTTACACAACATATATTAAAATCAGCTTGAAACTCTTTGGTTTCGAAGCACGGCAGTCGATCCATTATCAAAAAAGACCTTCTTGAACTGGTTCGTTGGATCCATGTTTGACAGGATAAAGTATTCTTTTAAGCACCACATGGTTGTCTTCCATTACAGCCATATCCTCCAATTCCATCGCAACCATAAACAACAAATGTTTGCTCTTGATATTGCCATTCATAACTACCACCCATACCTTCAATTTCATACGTACAACAACCATACCCAGAAAATTCCATATCAACACGTTGTGGTTTATTCCAATTCTCTTTTGTAAAAACAATTTTTGGATTGCCATTAACTGTGAATTTTGCACATTTTGTACCATTATAATACCAATTTGGTTTTGGTCTAAAACTGATTGTTACTTCATCACCCAATGAATGAACAGGCGGTGTTTGTAATTTTAATGTGAAATTATCAAGACCACCATCTGGTGTAACAACAAAACCGCGTACTGGTAAGTGTGAGTAACCTAAGCCATGGAAATAAAAACACTAATAAAAAATGTTTGACGAATAAAATAGAAAACTACCGTTATTAGCATTGCCACATGCTGATGGCCATTGTGCAGGCAAATTAAACAGCGGTTCAACTTCCGATGGTATGCCATATATAAATGATAAGTAAATGACCGATGTATATCTATGAAATTGAGAAGAAAGATATTTGTGGTTAGAGGCCGATAAAAGGGCTCAAATTTTTCAGCTAGATAGAAGGTTCCGAAATGCTAACGTTGATTAGTCCTCGATAAAGCTTGACAAATGAAAACGGCTGATAAATAAATCCGGAATAAATTTGACATTTTGAGACTGATCTTTTGATCAACAATTTTTTTTCCATAGTGCTTAATGCTTTTCTGGTCTATAAAGTATTAAAAATTTCAAAACCATTCTTATAGTCTTCAAAGAACAACACAAGTCATATTTTCTGATGACTCGAAGCTATACTAACAAACATGTTTCTTAGTCAGAAGTTGGGTGTGTCAGTTTCTGGTTTCTGTTTCTAAAAACAAGTCACTCTACGAGTTTCGGGAACCTGTCATACACTGAAGTTTCAGTTTTGGGAGATCCGGAAACCATTTCGATATCATCACAGGTTATCAAGGATAAACATAGACACATTAATGTGCTCAGATATGCACGCAAACAGTTTTTAACATGAGTTTTCGTTTTTTGAAAGCAAAAACTGTGGAAAGAGAAACTATGACATCCATAATCAGAAATGTGGTCACTATACTTCTGTCTAAGAAAATTTGATTTCAATCGTCAATTTTTGTACATGCTCCAAGATGGCCGAGCTCTAATCCATCTAAAAGACTAAATTTCTGAATTTGATTCCAATTTTGATAATCACTTCCTCATCGGTATCATAAAAACCTGTTGCCGCTCTTGCTTGTATTGTTTTAACTGGTATACCATCATTGGTTTCAAAGTAACTTAAACATGGTACTTTGCCAATACCACTTGTTTTTAAATCACATATATCAGATGAATCATATCTCTATAGATCAAAAACCATGTCAGACTCTGAACGAATGTGATGTATTTATTAACGAGACTTACAAGTGCATTAATTTTTAACTCTGGAATCCATTCAACCTTTATAAACTAAATTATCAGGTAATGGAAACCATGGTTTCATATCAATATCACCGTCAGCTGTCATCCATGAATATGGAAATGCACCAAAATTTTTTATTGGGAGAGTATTATACCAACAGTTACCCTTAACAAAAAAAACGTTGCTTTTATTTTTTTTTGAAAATTGCGAGCTTACCTTAGTCAATTCTGGATAATCAGGATTGAAATTAAACATTGTATAACCTTGTGCTGCCGGCTAAAACAAAGAAGAAAATTACCTGATTTATGGCTACGTAAACTGTGACAAGTACATCTTCGAAAAACATGACATGTACTAGCTAAATCTTTTTCTATACGCCTAGTATTACTTACCGATCCTTGTTCAGCTCCATTTGGTTTATATTGTATCATATATGTTTCATTTTGTTTAGCTCTTCAACCTTTTATATCAAATCGTGCACGTTGATTAATAAAATCATAAACTAATTGTTCTGGTGCACCAGAATCTTTCCAATGTAAATAGGATGTTTGATTTAATATAGCAACAAATTGTTTTGGAAAACCTTTTGGTTGTTGTTCAGAATGAGATTGACAGTGTTGAACAAGAAGAATAGTTAAAGTAATAACAACCAGAAAAACTTGCTGTTGCATATTTATTGCGTTTTTGGTGGCACGAGCAATGATTTTACCGATAACGAAAATAATCAACATGCATCTATATAGACTATGAAAATGAGTTGGCGTACAGAAAGAGAATAGCCTTGAATATTACTGTGCTTATCTCTTTTTTCCATTTGTCATGGTGAGACTTGTGCACAGGAATGACATTGCTGATGCATCTGACTCGTTCATAGCAACTTTTGAATGCTTGATCATAATGACAAAAATATCAAAATTTTAAATGACATCTGAATGCTATTTTACTGTTACTCGATAATAAGTAATAACTATTATTATTTTTCATCACCAATTGATTCTATTCTTTATCATGATAGTACTATTCGAGTTTAAACTATTTTTCTCAGTTGAAAGCAATACAGCTGATATCAGGCATTGTTCAAACATTATTTTGTAGATTCTCTCAGATTTACGGAACTCTAACGAAGAAAAACAATATACAAAAGGCTTCTATCATATTGTAGCTGTTTCTGCTTTGGTTTCAACTCTATTACCTAACGCAACAACTGTTTCTCTTGTTGATGGTGGTGAGCCAGGACGCAATCAGGGTCCGAACATCAAGAATTTGTATGTAAAGATAAGCATCGTGAGAATAGAATTGATTGAATATGCGAACAAGTATAAATCACAGCCGACTTTACGGGTATTTCGAGTTTGAAATATTATCGCTGAGAAAGTTGCACTCAGAAGATCGAAGAATAGACTGAGAGCCATTAGAGTGATCCTTACTTTGACGGCTGCTCGTTGTTAACTAATGAATAGACGCCATCTTATTTGATGCCCAAATATGGTATCGAGCTAGAAGCCACATCCTTTTGTTGACAATTGATATTTTGAGCCATAAAAATACTCTGGACACATGCACGTCACTGACATTGGACCAGAGACGATGATCTTGAAAGGGTGTGGGTGTAGGTGTGGATGTCAGACTCCTTTTCATACAGATGCAAAACCAATACCTACACGCCACACACTCATACTCACATTGCAATAGAGAATAGGGTAATGATGCTTCCTTGTCCACATGTAGCTCGGAGCTCTTTTGCACGATCGCTCGCGTTCTCTAAACGGTGGATGAGCTAATAATGTCGGTACATTCACGATCTTTGAAAACTAATCTACTAAAACTCAAAAATTGATCTGATAAATAACTATCAACTAGGCACAGCCAAATCAACAGAGAATTTATTGATGAATATTGAAGGCTTTCGGAACGGAATCTAGATTTAGGCCATGGAAACACCTGAATCTTGTAGGAATGATCACAAACTCTGGGAGAGAACTATTTTTGAGTTAATGTTAAAAAACTTTTTGAAAACCCGAGAATGAATGCTTCTGTGAATCGACTTCAAAGATGCGATGAAAAGAAAATGAAATTAAGCCAGATAGAGTAGAGTTGCTGTCACACTGCTTGGAAACGAATGAGAAAATGCCATTAAATGAAAGTCTTCAACATATAAAATTGATGGAAGAGAAAGAGAAATGGAATAATGAAAAATAAGCTGAAGTCGGTTATTGTGATGCAGAGCGAAGGAAAGGCATACAATGAAATATAAATTCTCATTTAATTAAAAGGAATGATGCAGAAATGAGATAAACAGATAATCGCTAGAATATTTGGCAGCTACGTTGTTGCTCTTGTCTTTGGCGCGCCGATTCTACCTACAACTCTGTCATATGATTAGATTGTTATCTCTATAGGGTGGATTCTTTATTGAAAGATGCCATGTTTCCTCGGTTTTCTGCTAGTCGAGCTTTTTTACATTATTCAAACCTATCTATCAACTGTTGACATTCTTCGATCACTTCGCAACGTCAGTGAACATGTAAACAATGTTGTTCAATCATGTAAGCATTATTTGATGAATTTCAAGTCAATTTCTAAATCCAATTTTCATACGATTTGTCAACAGGGTGTGAGTGGGTGTAGGTTTGGGCGTGAATGTGAGTGTAGCAATTGGCGAGAAAGATGATTTACATTCACGCCCACCTGCCCTCATCTCACCAACGCTCACACTCCACACTCACACCCACATCCACACATCTATACCCTGCAATATCAAGTTTTTCACGTAATACGAGCAGTCACAGAGGAGAACTGCCTCTCACAGCTAGTATGCTACAACGCTGTTTGTGACATTTATTGGTGAGTAGGTGACTATGGATGTGAATGTGAGTGACTGCGAATAGCAGGTGCATTGGTGCCTACGTAAGCGCATTCACCACCGCCGACTCACACTTGCACTCACCCATTCCATATCCACATCCGCAACTTCTCCTGGCGAAAACTTTCAAAGATGCATTTTTTTTCTGATACAAAAATGTATCGGTCTTTGCAATGAAACATTTCAACACATATCTTATTTTGTGGAGCTGAGTGTTGGTGGGTATCTGCTTAAAAAAACGAACACCCACACCTACACTCTTGTATGGGAAGAGTAGTCAAAGTTATAAGAGAAAAATTGAACAATGTATCAAACTCAAATGCATGGTGGGACGATTATAATACTGTCTACTATAGGCATCATGAAGAGGAAAAAAGATGAATTTTGTGTGAATGGTCCTAATCAAGTTCTGAAATGGATTACATATATTGAACCATCAATGGACGAGAAACTGAGACAGTATGGCATGGATCTCAAGTATAACGATACAGCATATTATTGTATATGAAATATAGTAATCTCTAAATAAAATGTGTGTGTTTGCTGACTGCACATGGAGAAGATTTAGAGAACAACGAAAGTTGAAACGTGCGTGTTGCTTCAAGATATACAGGAGTAAAGCGATAATCTTTCATTGTGCATTGTCATCTATGACTGCGCTAAGAATATTGATCTAGGAGATTGCTTTTATTTGCATTGAATAAAAGATTCGAATCGAAGAAACATGAGTAGTAGTTTATAGCAGGGTTATAAGTGCGATTTAGAGCAGAATAAATACAATTGTTTTAAGATTGATTTGCAATCAAATAATACTTTTGGAGGTTTATTTTCTTACTGATTTATTCGATGTTATCGTTTCTATCGTTGAAAGCAATGTTCTTTTTAATACTTATATTTACTATTGTAATCCTTTCCCTGTATCTCTAGGCCTATCATGCGGCGGTGAGTTGATATATCAATCGTTATATATAAGAAGACGATCAATCGAAAATAAGGTTGTATTATCGCTATCGCGTCAACAGATAAAACTATGTGAGCTGTTCCCTTGAAACTGAGAGCTAAGCGAAAACATTAATAGGATGCATTTGAGGCATAAAAATCTAGTAACTGTGTATAAGCTAACAAGGTAAGATTCCAAACTTTTTGATAAAGATTGTATGCATTAGATCGAGCTTGACGAGTAGCTGTATAAGTGTGTAACGTTTTAAAGTTCATTATGAATCGTAAGTAAGATTTACGAAAAGTTTGATCAATTATGATTGCTTCCTGGAAAGGATATTCTCATTTTCGATAGTCCTAGTGATTTCATTTTCTCGAAGTTTTGCCATTCTCTGATCAATCGAATTACAATTAGATATTCACTATCATAGAAACTAGTCAGAATGAAAATATCGGCTTACTCCGAAGGCTCAGACGCTCAATCTTAGCACTAGAAAATCTCCTCTTGTGGCATGGTTCAATCCTACTATCTTAATATTTCACTTTTTATGCTCACGAATTCGAGTAATACGAAAGCAGACCACGGGTTATCTAACTGGCATATATGATGGGTAACCCATAAAAATGATGATCTCCGTACTTAGATGATATCTCGGTCAATTTTCATTACTTACACATGATTTTTTCCCAAAAGATCCGCCGTGCAATTCTGAACAAAACGGTGTGTCCTACATAAGAAATGTAAGTTATTCATTTTTTGACACACAACATAATTAAACAATGACATTACACAACATTTTCTAGATTAAGACTTTTTCAGGTTTTTTGGGAACCCATTTTGACACTAATATCATCTTAGTGATTGGCGTGATATGTTCTCAGCTCTTTATTAAAACGAATATCACATAAATAGTGTTAGCTGACACGAACTCATTCGAACTTTGCGTTGCGAACATGTCACAGAGTAATATTAGTATCAAAGTAGATTCCAAAAAAAAACCATAAAGAGTCCTAATTTAGAAGATTATGTGTAATGTGATTGCTTAACTATGTTATGTTTAAAAAACTGAATAACCTGCATTTCTTGAGTAAAACATATAGTTTTGTTCAGAATTACATGGCAGATCTTATGGGAAAAAAAAATCACGTATAAGCAATGAAAATTTACCAAGATATCGTCTAAGTACTGAGACCATCATTATTATAGGACACTTGTTATTAAGAGAAATATATCTCAAAGTACCAATTGCTTTCTTTTGACTAGAGTAGAAATGCTGCTGAAATTGATTTTTGTCTTGATTGCTGTTGTGCACACTGGTTTATGTGAGCACGAATCGGGTAAGACTTGTGCATTTGATTGAAAGATTGTTTTATATGATTATTTGATGAACAGTGAAACGATGTGCTCGAGCAGTCAGTGCTTGTCATCTGACTCCGCAAGGCACTGAAGGACCCTATTACTGGAAATCTACCGTACGACGAAACATTACGTGAGTGTCAACCCTTGTTTGTAAATTCTTCATTATGATTATTGTATTGTGCAACAATAGCGAAGGTAAACCGGGCACCCCTCTTCGCCTCTTAATAACCGTGTTAGATTGGAGAACATGTTCACCTGTTCCCAATGCTGTCGTTGATGTGTGGCAGTGTGATGCCCTGGGAATCTACTCGCACTTTATCGGCGCTAGTATGGGATATTTTGAGGCAAAATCCGACAACACGACTTTCTTTCGAGGTAGAATTCTATTTCTCTATGTTCTTTCGTATCATATTTGTGAAAAAACTACTAGGTACATTAGTGAGTGATCTAGAAGGCCGCGTTGTCTTTGATACTATTTATCCAGGATGGTACCGGGGCCGAGCTACACATATTCACATCAAAGTACATATCGGTGCTAATTTGACAAATATAGATGGAGAAATGTATGCGACGGGTGGTCATGTTTCGCACACAGGTCAATTCTACTTCGATGATAATCTCACTGATAAAGTTGCTACAGTTGCTCCATACATGACAAACAACATTCGACGAACCCGCAATAATGAAGATGGAATCTATACTAGCGAAGATGGAGCGTCGATGATTGCTCCAATCCAGTTTCTCACCAACGAATTCACTGGTGGAATGAAGACAGAAGTCACAGTAGCCATTGATCCAACGGCTACGCCAGAACTGTTAGATAATATTCCATGATCATGACTTTAACATCATTTTCGTTGAAATTGAATGTTAGCCCAATATTGATAGAAATAAAAATGCTAATTATTTGGATGCTTCCCTAATTTACAAATTCAATCATTATGCGGAACAGTAATGGAGATTATTGCCCATGCTGTTCTGTGAGTTGCACAATCGTCGGGACGTTATTTTTCTTTCACGAGTCTGAAAGACTTTGTTGGTCATGAGTTTGCTAATTCTCAACATTGATGAGAGAACTTTAATCGATTTGATCACTATTCTCTATCTATCATAAAACTTGATCAACAGACATCAAGAAAGTTACGCACGACGAATCTTGCGCACGAAATATAAGATTCTTATTTACGCATCCAGCAGATATCGAAAAAAACAAGCAACAAAAACAAATATATATATATATAATAGTTCAATTTAGGCTAATTGAGAACATTCTTGAGATGTGCTATGTTATGTTATTGGTAGATATGTATTTGTCTTACCAGCTAAATTACGAAATCTAATTAGTAGACATGTAATTCGGTAAATACGTTAATCTAATTACTCTAAGTTTGTTTCGGAAACAAAAATGTTTCAAATATGAGAACACAAACAAGCACTGAAGATTAGATCAACTTATTTTCAGTTACTGAAATATGTGTACTCTTGTTCAATTCACAATTACTACCAAAGATCGGCCATCAATGGCATCAGACGGTTATTCGATTATTCAAAATCGTCAAACTGATGAAAAGTTTTAGTGGCGTCGTGAAAACTACAAAATATTTAACTGTCATTATCGTATTCATAATATGTAACTTTGCAACTAATACAACACATGTGGACATTTTTAAACGTAATGATACTCATACAACAAGTTGTAATTCTGATCCAATCAAGATAATATTACGAAAATTTTATGAAAATATTGTTGATCGTGCAAACAGTACGCAAAAGTCAACTGACAATGTATTATCTCAATGTGTAACACAACTACCTGATGCTTCATTTGAAAATCTAAATATTCACCGAGAAGTTGTGAAAACTCCAGTAAAAAGTGTTATTTTTTTTTACTCTTGCCTTTTTAATATATTCTCGATGCGTACATAAGAATTTTATATTTCGTGCGCAACTTTCGCGTGTGCAACTTTCTCGTACACAACTTTCTCG